GTCCAACCAAAATGAGCCATATTTATATTACTGGAAACTACACATTTATTGGTTACCGTGTAAGTATGGTACTATAGGAAACAGGAGGTCCATAAGCATTTACACCTATACCAACACTAAATCCCGACCACCAAGTAAAATAACTACCAAGTTTATTGATAGGATATAACTATATACTTTGTACAGAGCCATATCATAAATATTTTCTCTCACTTTTATAAAGTACTTTAGACAATTCTTGTTGCAACCACTGTATTGTAAAGAAGCTGACAAATTCTATCCCACTGTGTTCTCAGAGCAGCGATCTGAATAGTTTCTGTAGGATACTTCTGCTTTTTGACTTATTGTATCAACCCGGACTTTCTACAAAGTCATAAACGTTTTATAATATTTTAGACAATTGTGTTGTAACCATTATACTGTCAACAGGTTGATATATCCTATCCCACTGTTTTCAAATCAGGGAAAATTCTGGGAATTGCACCGCATGAACTTGATATTGACGGTATCAACGTACGGTAACACCTAAACAAGAATGGTGATTCATTGCTTTATATTTGGCAGGTTTCTACTTCAGCCATTAACAGTCGAATAACAATGTGAAATAGATGTAAAAAGAAGAAACTCTCGGGAGATTTATTTGGAACTTTACTGTCCGTACAGAGTACTATTCATTTTGTTTCTTCTAATTTGTAACTCATCTACTAGCAATAAAATAACTACTACAGGAAATAAGTGTGAAAAGGTGAGAGCATAAACTCTCACCATAAGTACTTTGAAATTTTGTAATCACTACTAACAATACTCTACATTTTATCTTACAACCTTTATTTTCATTATACTTTGATTACTTACCGACAACCTGGAGAAATAAGTGTAATGTTACAGTACCAAAAATAACAAATAAAATATAAAACTTTACTGAAAATACGAGGTTTTTTATTTTTCATTTGTTTTAGCTTTATTTTTATTATAAAAGTAACTAAAATCGTAAAAATAGAATGTTGTTTGGTAAGATAACGAAAGAAAAATAATAGAAAACCGTCATAGCGTATACGCTACAGAAGCTTCTGCATTACGCTGATCGATAGGATCAAGTTGATGCACATGCACCATGTATTTTTCAACTTCTGTCGGGCATTTTTAGTCAGACACAGTTCAAAGTTCAATAAAAACAAAAATTAATAAATATAAATAGATGTATAGTGTTAAGAGATTTAAGCTATTTAGAAAAAACATCTGTGGTTTCCTATTACTATTTGCAGTTATTCTAGAACAAAGAAGATAATTTAGAGTTAGTTCCTAATTTTTATGATTGTTACGAGGTCACTCAAATCGATCAACACCATATAG